TGCATTCAAAATATAACAAGTAATAATATTGAAAATGCCGATTATTTATTATAATAATTATAAAGAAGGGTTAGGTCATACTCAATTACTCATGGGGGGTTGGGACTTGGGGTTGCTATGGTGAATTTTGGCGCATCTATGCTAAACCCATAACACGTCACCAAGTGCTCTCTTATTTTTACGTCTGGGTAGTAGCTTCACCTATCCATGGTCCATCCAATTGCCAATGCCGCCCTCCTCCATATTTAATTCCCAAATAAATAAATGTAGTGAAAGTCAAACTTAAGTAGCAAAGCCAGAAATTGGATCACCAACAACTCCTAACCCGCTCATACTGTATTAATTATTTTGCTCAACTTATATATATAGCTAGGAGTATATGTATACACAACACAGCCACAGATGGGCGAGGGTGTAGATTGAGAGAAAATGAAAAAACCCTGGATTAGAAGGCGGCATTCAAGTTTTGGGCAGTGTTGGTATTAGTGGTGGTGGCAGGGGGACGGGCTGAAGACACCTCATCATGCCTAAACCAGCTTGCACCCTGCCTTAAATACCTGAACGGGAATGAAGAGTTGGCAGATAGCTGTTGTGATCCTCTGAAATCTGTGATTAAGTCGAACCCAGAATGCTTGTGCAGTCTGATAAGCAACAAGCTAGGGCAGCAGTGAAGCCGAGCAGGCAGGCATCAATGTGACGGAACCCCAACAATTACCAGCAAGATGCGGTCAGCATGTCAACCCTCTCGCCTGCCTTGCTGGTTGGTGTTCCATATTTATGTATATGTTTTCTATATATCTATCTCTGTTTTTGGTTGGCAAGAGGTAGATTCTTATTTGAAGAAAGTGAAATGAAATATAGGATGTACAGGGTCTTACCGTTTATTTTACGTTAATGAATAATGAGACAAATGTGTACGTGGAATGGAAATCATGTGGTTCAAAAACATTGCAGCACAGCCTGGTAGTTGTGGAAAATAAATGTAATGTGGTGGCATGAATTTATGATGTTTGAAGCAGAGTTAGGCAGAATTTCATTGATTCAAGACTTCAAATGCATTCAAAATATTACCGAAGCAATAATATTGAAAATGCCGATTATTTATTATAATAATTATAAAGAAGAGTTAGGTCATACTCAATTACTCATGGGGGGTGGGGTTGCTATGGTGAATTTTGGCGCATCTATGCAAAACCTACACCACCTCACCAAGGGTTCTCCTTTTTTACGTCTGGGCAGTAGCTTCACCTATCCATGGTCCATCCAATTGCCAATGCCGCCCTCCTTCATATTTAATTTCCAAATAAATAAATGTAGTGAAAGTCAAACTCAAGTAGCAAAGCCAGAAATTGGATTACCAACAACTCCTAACCCGCTTATACTATATTATTTTGCTAAACTTATATATATATATAGCTAGGAGTATATATGTACACAACACAGCCACGGACGGGCGAGGGCGTGGATTGAGAAAAAAAAAAAAAAAAAAAACCGGATTAGATGGCGGCATTCAAGTTTTGGGCAGTGTTGGTATTAGTGGTGGTGGCAGAGGGACGGGCTGAAGACACCTCATTATGCCTAAACCAGCTTGCAACCTGCCTCAACTACCTGAATGGGAATGAAGAGGTGGCAGATAGCTGTTGTGATCCTCTGAAATCTGTGATTAAGTCGAACCCAGAATGCTTGTGAAGTCTGGTAAGCAACAAGGGCAGCAGTGAAGTCGAGCAGGCAGGCGTCAATGTGACGGAACCCCAACAATTACCGGCCAGATGTGTCTTGCTGGTTGGTATTCCATATTTATTTATATATACATGCAATTGCATCATCTCATCTCTCGCCATCCTCTTCCCTAAGCTTTGTTTTTTTTTAAGTAGTTTTCCCTTTCTAATTAATTTTGGGAGAGCTATATAGGACTTAAAAGTTGATAAATGTATATTTCAGGTTCTCCTACTACAGAAAACTCATCCCACCACCAATACCAAAGTTATGCGACCATCATCTCCTCATCATCAACAGTATTATTAAGTCTTATTAACAAACAAGTCTTCCCCTTCTCATCCTACACATCCTTCTGTCCAATGAAAAATTTGCTGTTCTTGTTTTAAGTTTTAATTTGAGGTAACTACTGTGGCTTGCATTTTGTGTTGCATACCTGCCAAAGTTATGGTCTTAGCAAGAGTATTATTGATAACAACGGTTAATTTGTTGCATTGAAGAATTCCAGGTCACAGCGGGTTGGTGTATTGAAGAATTCGAGGTCACAACGGTTAAACAAC